ATTCTAGAAAATTTGGTCGCTGTAGAGGGAATTCCGTTATAAAAAAGTGTCGTTATAAGGAGGTTGACTTGTTTATTTTTTTTTTCACATTGATCTTGTGATTTGATTGGTTTACTTCTTAAAAAGCCACGTTAAAGGCTAGGGGTATTTATTGGTTATTTTCAAATCATGTGGTACAGATCAAATGTGTGGCGAATATGTAGCTAAACCGACTAAACGGCTTGCCTTGCTTTAAGGAACCCCTATATTCATTCAGTACATGTTCTAGGTGACTCATAATGATCATAACAGTGAAAGTCGATATATAATGGACCATTGTTCCATTAGTAAAAATTCAAAAATTCAAAAATCCGTTATAACGAAGAAATTCGGTATAGCGGATAAAATAGTTCTGAACCTCAATCCGGTATATTGAGATTTTAATTAGTGTCCGTTATATCGAGAGTCCATTATATCGACTTTGACTGTGTAATATTTTTTTTGTAGTTGCTTTTCTATTCGGAAGTAAATCTTTTTTCTCCACGAGAGTCGTCGTCCTCATCAAGGTTTTTCTTTTCTATTATTATATCCACAAATTAAGAAACTTAAATGGGTAATGCTCAGTCAGATGAAGGAGAACGTGCAGCGGCCGAAGTAATAAGCTTTATTCCTATAATCGGCTCAGTTTATCAATTGACAGCTGCAGCAGTCTATGCTGGGAAAGGTGATTTTGATGAAGCTAATAAGAGGGGTATAGATGGCGGAATTGGAGTCGCTTTAGATGTAGTTTCATTAGGAACTGGTGCCGGTAGTGGTATGAAAGCAGGCGGTGTACTCATCAAAGGGGGAATTAAAAAAGGAATTAAAGAAGGATCCAAACAAGTGGTTAAAGGTGTTGTAAAGACAATCGCACATGCGGGTACGGCCGTAGCAGGAAAGGCAAACGTTCGTGAATTCATCAGAAATTCTACACATGTATAATTATAACTCATATTAATTTCATATGTATACGTCACATGTTAAATAACTGTTTTTAATTTAAACAACTAAAAATCTATCCACGATGTCTTTTAAAAGCTTCAGCAATTGACACGCCATTCAACAGATCTTTTTTCACATTATCGTCCACTTTCACTTGTTTCTTGCATAATTCAAGTACGCGATCTACAAGTTCTTTAGGAATAAAAACAACTCCATTCAGATCCGCGATTATATAGTCACCGGGGTTGATTGTTATTCCAGTGTTGTTGATTGTGATTGGGACGTCGAGAGCAGATGGGTGTGTGTATTTCCGCGCGGAAAGAACTGATTGGCCTTTAGCAAATACCTTATTTTTTATAGAATTTTCATAAAAATTCGTGTTTCGAATCAGATTAAACGAATGATAATAACTCACAGGTAACCCATCTTCACGTAACTCCTCTAAATCACGAATGCGACCATCAACCACTATGCCTTTAACACCTCGCATTCGCACTCTTGTATTCATTAAACCTCCCCAAACTGCGTTTGGTGTATCTATTTTCAAAAAATTTTATTAGATTACGATTCTAATTATAAAGATCGTTTCATACTAACTTGGTGGTGCAGATACAACTACAATACTCCCTTCTGGAGCTGCGTCTGCCTTTTTATAAAAATGACAATAATCATCTTGTAAGCAAGAAGTAATCAATTGAGCATTACAATTAAATTAAATTCAGTCATACAAAATGTTTTTCCAGTTTCGGGACAGGTTCCGAGAGAGGAACAAGCTAAAGACAGAATTTATGAGGATTTCAGATATGACAGTTAATTCCAAGAATGAAAAGGTAGTGGTAGCACCTTTATCGTAAAAGCCGGACCAACGCATTTGCTAGTTCTAGTATTTCGTATATCAGGAACATACATTGTTATATCTTGAAGAAACCCACCATGTGGTGGGTGGCCAATTTCCAATAACGCATCCGCGACCTTTCGAGAAATTTATCTTATAACTTTTTATTTAATAAAAATTCAAAAAATAATGATATTACCGTACATCGCATGTCGAGTAATTAGCGAGACGAGTAATCTTTTCTTCCATCTGACGAAAGAATGAAACGGACAACTTTAGTTCAAAGTTATGGCAGAGAACACATGACTGACGATCTTTTCCGACCATTTTCAGTACAAAAATCATCTGTAAAGATTACAAATTCTTTTGAAACTAAAATGATTTCTACTAATTTCTTTGTTTTTTTCTTGATGAGAAGTTTGAAAAAATGAATTATTTGTTAATTAATATATAAAATTAAACATTTGAAAGTGTTTAAATATTAAAAAAATCATTTCTTTAAATATCTATTAAGAAAAAAGCTAAGAGATTATTATTAGTTGGTTGATTGATTTTATTTATCTGATTATATTGATTTTTATTTATTTTTTATTCTTAGAATTTAATAATTTTGATTAATTTAAATTAATTAAATTATTTAAGAAATTATTTTATTGATTAATTGATTAGTTTATTATTTAATTACATCAATTTTTACTTTTTATTATTTATTTTTTTCATTATTATTATTTAATAATTTTAATAAATTAAACTAATTTAATTATGTAAATATATTTTTATTTATTATATAATTTTTATTTAAACTAATAAAATAAAAATATTTTAAATATAATATATAATTTTATATATGTAAAAGTTAACTTTTTATTTTTAATAATTTTTAATTTATTATTATATTTTTAATTAAGAAATTATTATATAAAGTTGATTTAATAATATTATTTTATTAATATTTTAATATATTATATGATAATTTTTTAATAATTTTTTGAATTTTATATAATAATTTTTATAAATATTATATAGAATAATTAATTTTATTAATAAAATATAATAAAGATTAAAAAAGTTTTATCTTTATATTAAAGTTATAATTTTATTAAAAATTAAAAATTATTTTTATATCAAAATAAAATTTAATAAGTTTAATATATATTTTTTCAGATTTTTTAGATTTTTTCTGAAGAATTATTCTAATTGTAAAGTTAATATAAAAATTTTTATTAATTAAATTTTATTTTTAATTAGTAAAAATTTTTGTATTAACTTTATAATTAAAATAACTCTTTTAGAAAAAATCTGAAAAATCTGAAAAAAATAAATTAAATTATAATCAATAAACTTTATTTTAATATAAAAATAAAAATTATTTCTTAATAAAATTATTTCTTAATAAAATTATTTCTTAAATTATTTCTTTTAATATATAAATTTATATGCTAAAATAGCTAAAAAAAATTAAATTTAGAAAAAAATAAAAAGCTTTATTCAAATCAACTAGAATAATTTTAAAAGCTTGAATTATATAATATATTTTACAATCATAATTTGACATATATTATATAATATAAAAATTTGATTATATTACATTATAATTATAATATATTTTATATATATGATTTTTTATGTAACTAAGATATATATAAATATCTAAATTTGTAATATTTAAATTGGATAACTTATAAATTACTTTATTTATTGATATAATATTCTAAAAAATAATTTTGATTTATATTATAGTAAAGAAATATATTATATATTATATATCATAATTAATTTTGATTTGATAATTTATGATTTATATTTATTTTTTTTTACTTATCAAGCATATTACTAATATATTTCTTATTATTTTCTTTACTAATTTTTATATTGGTGTATTAATCTTCTTGCAATAATTCATAACTAAAAATCTAATCTTTATTTTCTTTTTCTATTATTAATATTTTTATATATTTAATAATAATTCTTAACTTAAAGTAATCATTTTTATTAAAATAATATTTTAGTTAAGTATTATTAAAAGTTTTATATAATAGTTAGTTATATTAATTATACAATTTATATACTTTATTATTAAAAATTTCATAAATATAAAATCATTTTATATTTTATTATAACTAAAATTTATTTCTATAAATAATATATTATTTTATATTATATATTAAAACTTTATCATTAATATTATATTATATAATTTTCTATAATTTTAAGTTATATTTTTTTTATTTATTATTATTATCTTTAAATTTAATTTTATACTATATTAATATTATTAGATAAATAAGAGAGAATATTCAGTTTAATATTCAGTTTAATATTTTATTTTTTTATTTTTGTTTTATTTTATTGGTGATAAATATTTTAAATCAATAGATAATTATATAATTTTTTATAAATCAAAAAGAATAGTTTATATTTTATAATATTATTTTAAAGTATTTTATATATAAATAATATTAATAATATATATATTTCTTATTAATTATCTAATATAATATAATATTTTTGAAATATTTTATATAAAATTCTATTAAATCTGTAATAATTTTGATTGAATTATCTTTCTTTAGTTTATATCTTTATTTTGTATTATTTATATTATAAATTAGCTTTATATTACTTTTAAGAAGATTAATTTATTCTGGATATACAAATGATTATTATATATTTAATATATTAGATTTAATATATTATTATGCAGATAATTATTATATATATCTATATTATTAATTTAGATAATTAATATTTTTAATTAGATATTTCTTTTAATAATTCTTT